TCATTCTCTGTCAAGTTTCCTTCCCTTTGCTATTCCTGTATATAGGAGATCTCATTGAAGCATCTTTCTTTTTAGGTGTCAAATCCCAAGTCCAGTTGGTGGAGTCTGGAGGGGGTGTGAGAAGACCTGAAGAGTCCATCCGTCTCTCCTGCCAAGCCTCCGGGTTCACCTTCAGCGGCTACTGGATGAACTGGGTGAGACAGGCTCCAGGGAAAGGACTGGAATGGGTAGCCTACATACGTACAGGCTCAAATCCTTCCACTTATTACTCAGACAAAGTCAAGGGCCGTTTCACCATCTCCAGGGATGATGCCAAAAGCCAGCTGTATCTGCAGATGAACAATCTGAAAGCAGAGGACATGGCTGTCTATTATTGTGCAAGAGACACAGTGAGAGGAAGTGAACTTGTAGCCTGTCAAGAACTTTCTCTACTTCTAAGCAGCTTACGTTTACTTAAACCAAGTCCCTTTGCTCTTCTTTTAATTTAATTTAATTTTATTTATTTATTTATTTGATTTGCCAATTGTTTACAAGATAATAAGTATAAGTGTATACATAGTTGTGAATACATGAAATGGGTACATATAAGAAAAATAAAAGAATAAGAGAAACAATAGGACAGGGACGGTAGGCACGATGGTGCGCTTATGCGCGCCCCCTACAAACCTCTTAGGAAAGGGGTGAGGTCAATAGTAGACAGTCTAAGGTTAAAGTTTTTGGGGTTTGGGGAAGAGACTATAGAGTCGGGTAGAGTATTCCAGACATTGACCACTCTATTGCTGAAGTCGTATTTCCTGCAATCAAGTTTGGTGCGGTTTACTTTGAGTTTGTATCTATTGTGTGCTCTTGTGTTGTTATGGTTGAAGCTGAAGTATTCATTGACAGGTAGGACATTGCAATGTATGATTTTATATACCATGCTTAAGTCAGACCGAAGACGGCGTAATTCAAGGTTTTCTAGTTTTAGAATTTCAAGTCTGGTGTTTGTAAAGTTTTTATTTTTTACAACGAACATACAGACAAAACATAAAAACATAAAACCATCGTTCAATTATATACATACAGTGTGTCAGTTGGTTACAATCTTTTGTGCTATCCTTTTTTTTTTACCATTACTCACAAGTTGTATAAATTCTCACCTTATCAATCTAACTTGTGCTTATGTAATATCAATTATTAACCATTCATTTGACTAAACTATTTTTCCATCATTCTATACAAGATATTCTAAATTTCATTATGGTTTAATCTTACACATTCATCCAATGGTTATATGTTTTGTATTGTATTCTATATCAAATCTATTAACTTTTATTGTAAAGCTTGCTAATCTATTTCTTTGCCATGTCTTTTTATCTAACCACTGATAAAATAAATCCCATATCATATAACATTGTTTATCTTCTTGTTCTCTAATTTCAAATGTCAATTTACTCATTTTGGCACAGTCCATGATTTTCTTAATAATTTCCTCCTGCGTAGGTATTTTTACTGAGAATCTCTCTTGAAAGGCCTTGACCATGTTTCCCCTAAAACAAGACCCACCTCGAAAAAAAGCCCTATCCTGTTTTTGAACGCATGTGCTCAAATTAAACCCTACCACCAGAATTAGCCCTAATTAAGACCCCACCCACCCCAGCATGCAGGGGGTGGGGCAAAGTAAAAATTAAGCATGGTGGGGATGAGGGGATGGAGCGACCTACTTACCAGGCCTTGTGTACCCCGACACCTGCCTCACCTCCTGCGGCCCACTTCTGCAGCCGCTCGCACACGTCGCCTCCCCCGCCTCTGTTTTCCCACCAGAGCCTTCCAGAAAGCCCTCTGCAGCTGAGAAATGGGCTCCAGATTGACTCGCATGGCATCCCACAGCCTGCATTTCTCCATTAGAGGCCTTCTGGAAAGCTACCTGCAACCCAGAAACAAAGTCCGGATTGACCTGCGCTTCGCCCCCGGCCTCCGTTTTGCCATCGGAGCCTTCCGGAAAGCCCTCTGCAGCCGATATTAGCTGTTATCAACTGCAGAGGGCTTTCCGGAAGGGTGTGACAGTGAAATGGAGGCTGGGGGCGACGCATGCGAGCAGCAGCAAGCGTCTGCAAAAGTGGGCCAGCCGTGGGCTCCTGTGTTGCTCTGGTGGCGAGGTAAGTCAATAATTAGATCCACCCAAAAAGAAGCCCTAGCCGTTTTTGGGGTGTGTCAAAAGAAAATAGGACCCAGTCTTCTTTTTGGGGAAACACGGTATATGCTTTGTGAGTTTTGCTTTCCATTAACACACGGCAGAGAACAGAACAGTGTCCTGTGGCTCCGCGGCCTGGAATTTGCTGCCAAAGAGAAGCCAAGATGCTTCCCGAGGGCAGCCTGTGACATCCCAGTGGGATTGCTGTGGCCTCTTCCGGAAACTTTCCAAACTAAATCTTTCTCTCTGCTTTCAGAAACCAAGCACTGCTGTGGAATATCTGGCGGCACATCTCTCTAAAATCCACGGGCTGGATTGGCACCCAGACAATGAAAACATTCTGGCCACCTCCAGTCAGGACAATTCAGTCAGGGTAAGTTAGGGGGCTGGGTTGGCTGGGCTAGCATCTGGCGTTCGCAAGGGATATCCTGGAAGAGTGGAAGTCATTGGTTAGGTTGGATGCTTGTTTGGGGCTGGACAGAAAATCCATGGGACCCCCAGCAGTGTCAGTCTCTACTGGCCTTCACTTGTCATGAGGACCACCAGAAAATGAATAAAGAGTGCAGTGAGACTGAATCCTGTTTCCTGACTTGAATGACCGGAGGTGGGTGGGTATCCCTGGTGAATGAGGGGTCTGTTTTCTCTGGATCCTTGCCTGAATTTGTTGTGGTGGTGTTTCAGCAACACACTTATTGTGATGACCCAAAGGGGCGTGGCACAAAGGCAACACAGTCACATAAATCAGAAAAGTCCCTTTAATACCTCTAACTTTGCTCCCAATGTCCAGTTACCTTCGGCTGGAATAAAAACTCTCCCAAGAACAGTCTTTAAGTGGAAGAAATTCAGTCCGAAAAAAAAGTACATACAAACTGTAAATAAAAAGCCACACAAAGCATACTGCAGCAATTAACTGGACAGGGCAGGATAAGAAATTGCAGACTTCAAAGGCCAACAAAACACACACAGTTGGGAAGACACCAGAAACCCAGATAAGCCTCGACAATCCCAGATAATTCACGATTTGCTTTCAACAGTTTGCTGTGCGCAACTTCCCTTTTTAAACACTTTGTTCCCAGCTGCAGCTAATGAAGGGAATCAGGGCCCTTTCCTTCCCTGTAAGCCATGCAACTCATGTTGCTCCCTTCTCCGTTCCTCCCTGTGTGCCCTAGGATGAAGAGGGAGTGGGCCTGGGTCTTCCTCTGAACTCCCTCTGCCTTGCTCTACCTCTGCCCTGCTCTGCCCAGCCAGACTTTGCCCTTCGCCCACTCCCTGTCAGCTGCTCGGCCTCCCCCTCCGAAACAAATTCTGACAAGGGTATGACACCTATGCTGTAGGCAAAAGCATCAGGCCATTGCAGTCTAGCGATCTTTAAATTTGTCTTACATGTGCATTCATTTATCAGCATTTAATTGAGTTTTTTTGTTCATCAAATCCTGGAAAGTCCACTAATGCAATGATAATTTGTAATATTCTTACAAGTAAAGATGTCATTGTAATGTTTGCTGCCATTGTAAGTATTCTTAAGTACAATTGGTGTTTTTTTTTTTAAAAAGTTGCAAGCTGACATGAATAGTTATCCTGAAAACACAGTTCATCCTCAACTTATGACCATTTCATTTAATGGTCATTTGCAGTTATGATGGCACTGAAAAAAGTGACACACAGCAAGTCGTCACATTTAGGACTGTTGTAGTGTCCCTGTGATTGTGCGATAAAAATTTGGGCACCTGGGAACTAGCATATATTTACAATGATTGCAGTATCCAGGGTCACATGGTCACTATTTATGATTTCCAGAGGGAACGTTTCCAGAAACAAAATCAATGGGGAAAGCTGGATTCACCTAACAACTGTGTGATCTGCTTAATGACAACTGCAAAAGAGGTGGTCAAAAAATCAAATGCTACTCGCTTGAATAACCATATTGCTAAGCGACAGACATTCCAACCGCAATCTGGGTCATAAATCAAAGATTATCAGAATTTCTAAGCCATGTCATAGCCCTGAAAGGAGAAATCATCTACTCATTAAAATGAGGAATGCTGGAGGTATGCAGGAAATGATCTCTACAGGCAAATAACTGCCAATAGAAGGAAAAAATGCTGTTCTGTTGAACACCAATGCAGAAAGTCAGTTTTTCATTCCTCTCCTTCCTGTGATCGAAAAAAATGAATGATTGATTGATTGATTGGCATTCCAAGGCCCGGAGTAGATGATCTGTATCTTCCGATGATTAACGGGAGGTTTTGCTCTGTGGAATCCTTTGATATCTGATCCCGCAAATGGAAAGCCAAAGATTTTCAGGAGCCTTCAATCCTCACACACACACACACACACACCCAACAACAGCTGCTGGAATTCTCCATTCACAAATCTTTTAGGGCCTTTTAATTTAATAATTTTTTTTTATACGGTGGTGGTTTTCTTCTGTTACACCGCTTAAACATCTTTCACCTGAGTGGCCTTTTCTGTCTCTTGTTGAAGTTCTGGGACTACCGACAACCCCGAAAATACCTCAACATTTTGGCCTGTCAAGTTCCAGTCTGGAAAGCCAGATATACGGTAAGCAGAGCCTCCGTGGAGCCCAGCTGAGCAGAAAGGCTGGCTGCACCTCTTGCTCGCCCATGGGGCGCTGGAGGGACTGATGGCCAGTGGCCAGGACTGAAGAGAACAACTACATGAACCGCAGTGGGGCAGTGGTTAGAATGTAGTATTGCAGGCTAATTCTGCTGACTGCCAGCAGTTCGATCCTGACCCGCTTAAGGTTGACTCAGCCTTTTATCCTTCCAAGGTGGGTAAATGGGGACCCAAATTGTTGGGGGCAACAGGCTGACTCTGTAAACCACTTAGAGAGGGCTGTAAAAGCATTGTAAAGTGGTATATAAGTCTAAGTGCTATCGCTACATGTTTTTTGGCCAGGAGCTACTTTTGCTGTGGGGGAGTTAGCAATTACATGGTGACTTCACTGGAAGGGGAAGGGTGGAGGTACAGATAATCAGAGTTGGAAGGGACTTTGTAGGTTATCTAGTCCAACCCCCCGCCCAAGCAGGAGACCCTACACCATTTCTGACAAATGGCAGTCCAGTCTCTTCTTGAAAGTCTCAAATGATGGCGCTCCCACAACTTCCGAGGGCAAGCTGTTCCATTGGTTGATTGTTCTCACGGTCAGAAAATTCCTCCTTATTTCCAGGTTGAATTTCTCCTGGTTCAGTTTCCATCCATTATTCCTTGTCTGGCCAACAGGCGCTTTAGAAAATACCTTGACCCCCTCCTCCTCTCTGTGGCAGCCCCTCAAATATTGGAAGACCGCTATCATGTCTCCCCTGGTCCTTCTCTTCACAAGACTAGACAGGCCCAGTTCCTGCAACTGTTCGTTGTATGTTTTAGCCTCCAGTCCCCTAATCATCCTGGTTGCTCTTCTCTGCAGTTTTTCTAGAGTCTCAACATCTTTTTTATAATGTGGTGACCAAAACTGGATGCAGTACTCTAGATGTGGTCTTACTAAGGCTTTATAGAATGGTATTAATACTTCCCTTGATCTTGATTGTATCCCTCTGTTAATGCAACTTAGGACTGCATTGGCTTTTTTGGCTGCTGCTGCACACTGCTGGCTCATATTTAGCTGGTTGTCCATTAAGACTCCAAGATCCCTCTCACAGTTACTGCTATTGAGCCTGGTTTCCCCCAGTCTATATGTGTACTTTTGGTTTTTCTTGCCTAAGTGTAGGACTTTACTTTTCTCTACATTGAATTTCATTTTGTTAGATACAGCCCAGTGTTCAAGTCTGTCAAGATCCATCTGGATCTTGAGCCTATCTTCTTGGGTGTTAGCTATTCCTGCCAACTTAGTATCATCTGTAAATTTGGTAAGTTCCCCTTCTATTCCCTCATCTAAGTCATTAATGAAGATATTGAAGATTACTGGGCGTAAGACAGAACCTTGTGGCACCCCACTGCTTACTTCCCTCCATGTAGACTTAGACCCATTAAGGACTACTCGTTGAGTACGGTTTGCCAGCTAGTTGCGAGTCCATCTAGTGGTGGTGCTATCTATTCCACTTTTTTCTAGCTTACTAGGAAATAGGTTGTGGTCTACTTTGTCAAATGCCTTGCTGAAATCTAAATATATTATGTCCACAGTATTTTGCTGGTCTACTAATTTAGTCACTGTGTTGAAGAATGAAATAAGATTGGTTTGTCATGATCTGTTCTTAACAAACCCGTGCTGACTGCTAGTTATTACTTTACTTGTTTCTAGATGTTGGCAGATCTGTTTTTTTATTATCTTTTCCAGTATCTTCCCGGGTATTGATGTTAGGCTGGTTGGTCTGTAGTTTCCTGAGTCTATTTCTCCCCCCCCCCTTTTTTTTTTTTGAAGATGGGAACCACATCAGCTCTTTTCCAGTCCTCTGGTAGTTCCCTGGTGCTCCAGGATTTTTGAAAGATATGGTGCAGTGGTTCTGCCAGCTCCTTTAAAACTCTGGGATGTAATCCATCAGGCCACTGTGATTTGTTTTCTTCAAGATCAGACAGGTGTTCTCTTACTATTTTTTAACTTATTTTAACTTTTATTTCTGGTCTGTCTTTTACAGATGTTTTTGGTGGATTGAGCTATAGTTTCTTTTTGCGTGAAGACAGATGCAAAGAATGAGTTAAGCAGTTCTGCTTTCTCTCTGTTGCCTGTTACTTCCTTGCCATCTTCTCTCTTTAGTGGACCGACTGTTTCCTTAATTTTTTCTTATTATTTATATGTTGGCTGAAACTTTTTTTTATTATCTTTGACTTTTGTTGCAAGTCTTTGTTCGTTCTGAGCCTTTGCTATCCTGACTTTGTCATTGCAGATTTTGGCTATCTGCTGATATTCTGCCTTAGTTGTATGTCCTTCTTTCCATTTTTTGTACTTGTCCTTTTTTTCTTTCAATTTGCCAGAAAGATCTTTGTGCAGCCATGCTGGTTTCTTCTTGCATTTCTTGTTTTTCTTTCTCAGTGGTATTGTGCTGGTCTGGGCTTCTATGATCATACTTTTTAGAGTTTCCCAAGATTCTTGAGTTGTTTTCCCCTTTAGGATTTTCATCCATGGAATCTTTCCCAAGTTCTCTCTGCGTTTATTGAAATCAGCTCTTTTAAAATCCAAGACTCTGGTGTCATTATGTTCTGTTGCTTGTTTGTGTGTTCTGTTGAATTCTAGTATGACACGGTCACTCTCACCCAAGGTTCCTGCAGTTTCAACTCCCTCTATCACTTCTCCGTTTGTAAGAATTAAGTCCAGTATGGCTGTCCCTCTAGTTTCACCCTCAAACTTTTGGACAACAAAGTTGTCAGCTAGGTTAGTTAGGAACGTATTTGATTTCTCACTTGGTGCAGAATTAGTTTTCCAATTGATATCAGGATAATTGAAGTCTCCTATTACTGTTGTTGTGTGTTTCCTGCATATGTTTGTTAGTTGGCTGGCAAAAAGGACATCTATTTTTTCTGCTTGATTGGGTGGCCTATAATATACACCTATGGCCATGTCATTCTTTTTTTCTTTTATGTTGACCCATATGCATTCTAGGAGGTTTTCATCTTTGCTTTCAGGTTTGGGCTCCATCTGTTTTACTTTTGAGGTGTTTGATTGGGGGGGGGGGGGGGGGTTTTTTTTTTAAATTAAGTTTTTTGAGGCTGCTAGTGGCATTTACTTTATTTGTAGACTTTTTTTTTCAAAAAAACTACTCACAGTTGCCTTCGGGTGGCTTCTATTAAATTTTGGTGGTGTGATCTGTGGCATGTTCTAGGAGCTGCAAAGAGTTACCTGTGTTCCCAGGTGGTTCCCATTGCCTACTCTTTGCTTGTGGGGAAAGATGGCAGCTCACAGTAGAACACCCACATTCACACAATCCTTCCCATACCCAACACCGGGAGTTCATTCTCCTGGCAAGGTTGGGAAAGACAACAGTTTGGCCCGAAACCTGTTGTCAGTTGATGTGCCTCCAACTGTGTGTTTAACTGCAATTCCTGTCATCCTTGGTTGCTCTGGAGAAGAAAGCTGCAGTCCAGATCTGGGAGATAGTACTTTAAAGGCTTGCACAGACAGTGCCAAGCTAAACAAACCGAAATATTTGATTGGCACGGTGGCTGCTTCCACTATTCCTTGGCTGGGATAAGCTGGCAATGCTGGGCAGGGGAAGCCTTAAATATAGTAGCGTTGTCTTCTGGGACCGTGTCTCTTCTTTGTGTTCCTCTGGGCAAGGAAGGTCTACAAGAGGTACATCATGGTGATAAGAGATGCCCACTAATGTGATCTCCAGTGTTGCTTGCTATTATGTTCACCATTACTCTACACACATTTTTTGCCTTAAACTTTATAATCTTCAACCTCTGCCTACTAAAACCAAAGGTAGAATCGTAACTCAGGGACACTCCCAGTGTTCTGACCCAAACTTTGTTCCAAGGAAACAAACACCAAACAGAGGTAACAGCAAAACCTTTTAATGATTCTTTACGAATTCCGTTCCTTCCCGGTAAAAAGGCTGTTTTAAACTAATTGTCTTTAATAAGAACGAGCCTTGCCAAGGTTGTGCAAGGCTGCCAAGAACACCAGATAAAGTTACTAAGAAATATTTCAAACAGAAAGAGACTCCAAACGTCAACCAAAATATTCCAAACGTCTACAAGGTTTGAATGCAAAAATTTCTTTGCTTCCTGCAAAGAACTCCTGTTTCTCAGCTGGCTTTTCTGTCTTAAGGGAGGGGCCATTACCTTGCAGCCTTACTCCCGAGTCGCCCGTGCTGTTGTAGCTGCTCTTTCCTATGAGCAATCCTGCGCACATGCGAACTTGGCACAGGCTCCTCGGGAACCTCCTCATCGCTGCTTCCAGCCCCCACCATCTCCGAAGGCAGCACTCCACTGCCTGATGGTCCTGGCCCCATCCCTGCATCACACACAGGCCCCTCATCCGAGTCCTCGCTCTCCGAGGCCTCAGCCGTCGGCACCTGCTGCAGGCGAACCACAACACCCAGCTACGGAGAAGGAGATTGAGGACGCAAAGGAAAGAATTGTGGAGGAAACCCATAGGCTGCTTTAATTACTGCCCACTTACTGTGAGAGGTTAGGAAGCTTGTAAACACACATCGTTCTGCAGGATCCAATCTGTGTCGGTCAGCAGGACCAGAGGACTCGTGCTGAAGCCCATCCTCAAGGAACTTCTCTGCGTGCTTTGTGCTGTTCTGTGTGTGCTATGCCACTAAGCACCCAGGTAAGTTCCCTGTGGATGGGCTCTAGCATGTGTCTGAAAGTTCGGAAGACAAAGCCTCAAATTGGATCCTGCAACATTTTCCTGGGCCTGGATATTCGCCTACAACGCTATTCTCCCCAGCGGTCCTGTACAACTGCAGACCTCCTGGAAAAACGAGAAGGAGGCGAACCATTAACCTCCCTTCTTTCCCCTTCCTAGCCTTTTAGCAATGGGCTGGTGACGGTGATGGTGCCGCAGCTTCGAAGAGAGAACAGCCTCCTCCTTTGGGATGTGTGCGATCTCAACACACCAGTCCACACCTTTGTGGGGCATGACGATGTTGTGCTAGAATTCCAATGGAGGAAACAGAAGGAAGGTGTGTAACTGGGGATGGCGGGGGGAGGGCGTCTTCTCTCCTTATTATTGGAACAGTGAACTCAGCTGAACAGATTCCCACTTTATATATAGTTATTTTCTTTTCTTTTTTTAATTTTAAACCTTTATTGAAATTTAAACATTAAAAAACAAATCTATAAAAAATAGGTTTGTACAATTCACCATCAATCTTTGACAGTACAAAAATCTTAACTATATTTATACATTTTCAGACAATTACACACACACACACACACACACACATATATATATATATATACATACACACACAGACACAAAGTTTATATCTTATTCTAATCTATCTGTTTCATATTCCTGCTATCTGTCCATTGATACCAGTTATCCCAAGTTGAATAATATTCCGAGTCTTCCTTATTGTTTAATTCTACAGTAAGTTTGTCCATTTCTGCACAATCAAAATTTTTACAGATTACTAAACAATCTGTCGGTATAGTGGCCATTTTCCAAGATTGTGCGAGTGCAATTCTTGCTGCTGTATATAGTTATTTTCATCCCACATTGTTTTTATTCAATGTGACCCATCCCACTTGAGTTAGTTAGTGAAGAAAGGCTCCTGGCCCATTATTTTCCATTGTTTTTGCTGAAAACAAAAGTGGTTACAGAAGTAGCAAAGCCAAATCTGCCAGTCTGGCGCGCAAAGGATACAATCACCTTTCCCTTTCTCCTCTGGCCAAGCCCTGTTATCAGTCAATGTCCAATTAAAAGTTTTCGTGTTGTTTAAGGAACAGACCCTCAGTGCAACCCAGCTTTGTTTCCACTTAAATCAAGAAAACATAAGGATGTCCTTTGGAGCCACAGTGGCACAGTAGTTACAATGCAGGATTGCAAGCTAATTCTGCTGACTGCCAGCAGTTCAATCCTGACTGGCTCAAGGTTGACTCAGCCTTCCATCCTTCTAAGGTCGGTAAAATGAGGACCCAGATTGTTGGGGGCCAGAGGCTGACTCTGTAAACCACTTAGAGAGATCTGGAAAGCACTTTGAAGCAGTATATAAACCTAAGTGCTATTGCTATTCCTTCCTTCCTTCCTTCCTTCCTTCCTTCCTTCCTTCCTTCCTTCCTTTTCCTTCCTGTCATAGTGGCACAGTGGTTAGAATGCAGCGAGGTTGACTCAGCCTTCTATCCTTCTGAGGTGGGTAAAATGAGGACCCAGACTGTTGGGAGCAATAGGCTGACTCTGTAAACCACTTAGAGAGGGCTGGGAAGCACTGGGAAGCGGTATATAAGGCTAAGTACTTTTGGTACTGCTGTTAGCCAGTCCTTTTCTCTCTGAGGTTTAGGGCAGATTGAAAGGCCCTTCCTGTGTAGGTTCCTTCACTCCAAGGCTAAAAGGTGGGAGATTTGTGCAACATTATGTACACAAATATATTGCTGACTCTTTTTTCCTGGTTCATTTTCCATAGATTCTGACTTTTTCCTGCCTTTGAATTCAAAAGCAGGCCTACATAGTGTATGACAGGCATTTCCTCTTTTCCTTTAAGGGTCAAAGGACTATCAGCTGGTCACCTGGTCTCGAGACCAGACCCTTCGGATGTGGCGAGTGGATTGTCAGCTACAGCGGGTAAGTCTTAAGGATTCGGAATTCTTTCCTGGCCCCGGCTTGAAATTATAAGAGCCCTGTCCATGCAACTGCCTGGGCTCCTCTTTCCCACTGTAGGTCTGGCAGGTTACTTCTTGGGGTTTCCTATATATTTCCATAAATGTGTTTTCCCTACGGTTGATTTACGGCGGATTCAGGGACCAGTAACTGGGGAGGGCCAGACCTTTGCAGTGGAAAACTCTTTTATCATTCTGGAAGAGAATGAAAGGAAGGCACCTGTGGAAGGTGGCTGTATAGCAGGGGTGTCAAACTCAAGCCGGGGTGCTTAGACCTGGCCTGCTGGCCCGCCCTGAAAACAGCGAAGAACTGGCCTGTGGTTTGTCTGCCAGCGAAAATGGAGCCTGATTGAGTGACGTTGAGCTGGCCACCCTCACCCTTGCCACATCCCCGTCGTCCCCCCCACACCTCTCGAGGTCAAACACAACCCTGATGCAGCCCTCAATGAAATCGAGTTTGACACCCCTGCTGTATAGCGTTGTTGGGCAAAGTCCTTATCCTCCTCTGTAGTGTGTTGGCTTTGCGTCCTGGTCACAGTGAGGAGGACAAATTGATGGCCAAACTTAGCGCGAAGGTTTTGAGAACATTAGATAGGCAACTGTGGTCATTAATCTGAAAGACAGGCAAATGAGAAAGGAGGCAGCCAACAAATGGAACCTTTGGAGCAAGTGGCCAGTTTTAAGTTTCTGGGTGTTACCCAAAAAGAGGACCTGACCTGGGGTGCCCACATTGCAGCCCTGGTCAAAAAGGGCCCAGCAGAGATTATATTACCTGAGGCTTCTCAGAAAACAACAACTGAATGAAAAAGTGCTGGTGACCTCCTACCGCTGCACCATAGAGAGTATCTTAACTTACTGCACCTCTGTATGGTTTGCCAATTGCACAGGGGCAGATAGGAAAGCACTCCAGAGGGTGAATGTCATTGCCCAGAGGATCATTGGTTGCCCTCTCCCCTCTTTGGAAGAGCTTTACAGCTCTCGCTGGCTTAAAAAAGTTCAAAACATCCTCAAAGATCCATCTCATCCTGGGAACCCCCTTTTTTTGAACTATTACCATCTGGCGGACAGTACAGAATAATAAAAACAAGGACAAATAGGCTGAAAAACAGCTTTTGTCCCAGGGCAGTAACCATATTGAATCCTACTGTATAGTACACTGGAGGTATTTAATTTTGTTGTACGATGTACAATGACAATAAACTAAACTAAACTAAACTAAACTAAATCAGTATTGTGATGCTGCGGAGCAATTCATCAGCTGACAAAGAGGTAGATGCAGCTTCATCTCAGTAGAGCAGTAGAAAGAGGCAGCCCTAGAGATCACCTTGGGGGAAGATATTCAGAGGCTGTTACACAGAAGCAAGGCTGGAGGGCTGGGAAAGGAGATAGGAGCAGAGATCAGGCCGCATCGCTCCTGACTGGGGTACATCAGGAGGGGAGGAAAAAAGAAGCAGACTTGCAAAGATCCTGAGCCTGTCTCAAAACTTAGTTTTAGACTTCTCGTCAAGTCTGTTTCCTGTTCTGGATCGACTCAAAGGGGTGAGAGTACAGGGAGTCCTAGACCAAAGGCCTCCAAACTTGGCAACTTTAAGACTTGTGGACTTCAACTCCCAGAATTCCTCAGCCAGCGATGTTATGCTGGCTGGAGAATTCTGGGAGTTGAAGTCCACAAGTCTTAAAGTTGCCAAGATGGGGACCCCTGTCCTAGACTTACGACCACAATCGAGGCCAAAATTCCCGTTAAGCGAGTTTTGCCCCATTTTACAACTTTTCAAGGCGTTGCTAAGTGAATCACTGCCCTTGTTAAATTGGGAACATGATTGCGAGAAGGTCTCAAAAGAGAATCACATGACCCTGGGACACAGCCACCGTCATAAATACAGATCAGTTTCCAAGCATCCTGAATTTTGATCACATGACCCTCGGAGATGCTGCAACGGCCATAAGTGTGAAAAAGGGTCATAAGTCCCTTTTTCGGTGATACTGTAACTTCGAACCGTCACTGAACAAACTCTACCATAAGCCCCAGGACCTGCCCTTCCTTCCAGACTGGGACCTGCCGTTTCCCCCTCCCTTGTTCGCTCACCTGGTGTTGGCTTAGCTTTGGCTCGGCTTGGCTGCACTGCGCTTACCTTCATTGCCTCTTGTTCCAGTTATGCTCCAGTGACCTCTTGGAGGGGGTGGAGGAGCTGATTGGTGGGATTTCCCTCCTGCCCGAGGCAGACAAGGCCCTGCCAGTCCAAGAGTCAGAGGCCCAGCAGAACTTCACCCACGGAGAGGAGGAAAGTGAGTCCTAGTGTCTGTGGGGGGCTGGGGTAAGGGGTGGTGGTAAATGATCCATTCATTTTAGGGTGGAGTGGGAAATCTTTGGACTCCACATGCATATTTTTTTTTTTTAAAAAAGATGGAACTTTGATCATCGCTGCCCAAGATTAAAATGCATGTATTTATTTATTACATTTTCTAATTTAGTCTTTGCTATTTTTATAAATAACTCAAGGCTACAAACATGCCCAATTCTTCTCCCTCCTCCTGTTTTCCCTACAACAACAACCCTGTGAGGTGGGTTGAGCTGGGTTCAAAGTCATCCAGCTGGCTTGCATATCTAAGGCGGGACTGGAACTCCCAGTCTCCTGGTGATTGGCCCAAAGTCACCCAGCTAATTTTCCTGCCTAAGAAGGCACTAGAACTCATCGTCTCCTAGTCTCTAGTCCAGCACCCTAACCACTACTTCAGAGTGGCTGTCTTGTAAAAGATACATTCAAATTATGCTTGACTCCCGGATGTGCCCAAGCGATTTTCATGGCAGAAGGTTGGGAACATGGCTTATTGTTGCTATATTTCAGAGTCGTTGTTTTTAACTTCCTGGGTTGGCCCATTAACTTCCCTGACGAGTCCCTGGCAAAATTATGGATAGGATAGGATAGAATAGAATATGAAATTAGAATACAATAGAATAAAATACAGTAGAGTAGAGTAGAGTAGAGTAGAGTAGAGTAGAGTAGAGTAGGAGGGGGAGGGAGGAGAATAGAATAGAATAGAATAGAATAGAATAGAATAGAATAGAATAGAATAGAATAGAATAGAATAGAATAATTACTTGTCACTTTGAATGTACACTAAACAGCATATATTAAAATGAAATTTCATTGCATACAGGTCTCAATATACACTACATGAACATGATAAAATAAATAAATACAAAATTATGCATATACCCACACAGAGAAACAATACAGTCTAGTTTGGATATTTATTTATTTATTTATTTGATTTGCCAATTGTTTACAAGATAATAAGTATAAGTGTATACATAGTTGTGAATACATGAAATGGGTACATATAAGAAAAATAAAAGAAGAATAAGAGAAACAATAGGACAGGGACGGTAGGCACATTGGTGCGCTTATGCACGCCCCCTACAGACCTCTTAGGAAAGGGGTGAGGTCAATAGTAGACAGTCTAAGGTTAAAGTTTTTGGGGTTTGGGGAAGAAACTACAGAGTCGTTATATATATACATGTATATATATATATACATGTACATAGTGTATATATATGTATATATATAGTGTATATATATGTATATACACTATATATATGTACATATACACTATGTACATATATACACATGTACATAGTGTATATATATGTGTATATAGTGTACATACATGTATATATATATACATGTATG